TGCGTGGGGCCGGGGCGGGGCGGCGCGGGAGCGCGGGGCCCGGGCAGATCTGCGGCTTCCTGACACTTGTTGACAGCCCCGGTCTTTCTGCTGCAAAAGGAGCAGGCGAGCGGTAGCGCGGTGCCGCGGCCCGGGGCCAGGCGCTCTGGCGAGTGCAGTCCTTGCACACGCCCCTGGCTGGAGCCGAGCCCCGGCGGCAGGGCTGGGAGCAGGGCTCTCCTCCCCGCCTGCGAGAGAAACCGCTCGTCGCAGCCTGACTCTAGTGGTTAACCCAGAAGAGGGAGTCTCTCGCTTTCTTTCTCTCTCTCTCTCTCTCGTTCAGGATGGTGCAGCCTAACACCCTTGGGCTCCAGATACGCGCGAAAACACACATACAAACCCCTATATGTTTTACGCTTCTTAGCAGAGGAACAATACACTGGTTATGGGAATTTATGTGGGTAATGACGGACGCCTAGTGTACGCTGTCTGGCTTTGCGCGTTCAGGCCTTACAAGCCGAGTAAAGCCGAGAGATTCCGCACAGAAGAAAGCATCTGCTTACGTTTTGAGCTCTGGTTTTAAAAAACAAAAAGTGAAGGAAGACCCGCGTCGAGAAAGGATAACACAAGTGTAAACACCCGCCAACAGTGTTATAGCAAAATGCAAATCCGGTCACAAACATGATTCCATCCATCAGTAAACAGAGCTATTAAAGCAAAGCAACAATTATTTATATCATTGTCTATGGCGACTTTATCCTATTCATCCAGACGTGAAGTCAGAACCCCGAAATGCAATTTCCTGGGACTTTAAAAAGGTTTAGACGCATCATTTTGCATTTCCATTAAAGTTTAACAGTACCTGGCTAAAGCTACAATCGATCAATTTTATGTTAAGTAGTAAAACAAGAAGTCGTTTGGCATTTTAATACCTAAATCGAGTTATTCTCATAACCGAGGCTCCGAGCAAATGATGCGTGCTCGTAACTTTGAAGTGTACACTACATATATGGCACATTTTTATTACTCTTTTGCATAGCCAGGATTGGCTATAGTTGGGTGTTCTGGTTATATGGCTGGCTTGGCCTATTTGTTCCTTAATATAAAGCCAATATTTAGCTAGAGAATTTAGATCAGTTATTGTGTAAATCTTTCTGGGTGAAGATGATGAAAAGTGACAAATGATGCAATTAGTTTCCCTCCTTATATAACATGTTTAGGCCAGCATTTTAAACCCCACACCGGCCCTGGGCTTCGCCATATCTGAACTTCCCAGTCTATTCTCAGTCGCCACTGGCTGGGACATGCCCGAGTCCTGGCCACCTTGACCGGAGGGCACGAAAGAGACAGACGTTAGGAATTAGGAATTTGTTACTTACAAAGACACTGAGTGTGACTTCCCAATAAAGCTGTTTCCTCATCCCTCCTTAAAACACTTCATCTCTACATACTCGTTATCCATTAATCCTGACACTTCTCAGTCAAGGGAGAAAACATCTGGAACAGTTTATCAATTAGAAATGTTATCACCAGTTTGCCTAAGCTAATTTAAAATATTGTGATGGTTTCTTGTCAAACACTAATGGCTCTATTTGGCCCTTCCTTAAGGGACTTTCTCTCTCTCCTGCTCGCTTTGAAATAAATGAAAAAGTTGCCCTCGGTGTCTCTCATTATAGTAGGTGAAGTTGGCATTTTTCTCTCCTAGAATTTGTTGTGTACTTCGGAGGCGTCTCCGTGTGTGTGCAGGAGAGGGAGGGGGAGAAGAGCCGCGCGCATGACTTCAGGAAGGCGGAGAATTAGAAAAGAGGAGGGAGGACCTGGCCAAAACCAGCAAAGTTACACATTTCTTGTAGAATGTTTTGAAAACTTGCACGCCTGTTCATGAAGCCCTTTGACACTTGGAGCTTGTCTGACCAGCACTCCAATGATCACTTAGGTCCCATTAATCATGGCCTCAAGATGAGCCAACTTTTTGCCAGATAAAGCCTGGGCGAGTTCTTAAACGCCTCCCTTGTCAACAGCAGATACTGTAGGGCCCCTCTGCCCATGTATCTGTTTATAATGTAAACCACTTCTGCCATTGCAGGGGACTTCCTCTTCTGTCCCAGCGCTGGAGCTCATGGACTGCCTTTCAAGAGGGTCTGCCGGGATAAGCATGACCGCGGAACTCTGGGTTATGTGCTGCCCCAGAGAGATCACAAGATGTGGGGGGACCAGGGGCAGTGTTTTTGCTGGCTGGGGGCTGTTTATAGAAGGGGACTGGCACGTGAAGAGCCATACTGCTGCTTTCCTCCCATCTCCTTAGGGCCAAGGCCTCCGAGAGTGTGCAGGGAGAGCTGGGGCTTCGGAAGTGGCAAAAGCAGGAATCAGCCCTCGGAGGCTGAGTAGGGAGGTCCCCCTCTTCTTCCCAGGGGTCTAAGCCGACTCCCTCCTGGCTTGCAAGAATGCAATGGAAAATTAACGTCTGCAGATGAAGTGGTCGCAGAATCTTTTTGTAGTAAAACCAGAGACTCAACCTTCCCACTGGATTCTGATCAAAACACGAATAAGCTGATTTACCACGAGGCCAGAGGGGTAGGAGGCAGCGAACGCTTAACCTGCAGCAGAAGGAGATAGGGGCAGTTCTGCAGTCTTAAGACAAATAGGATCCCGAATAAAGACCCTGGTGCGCGGTTGGGGGTGCAGAAGCCACCCGGCTCCGAACCTCGAGTTCAGTACGTTGGGAGTCAGCTGTGGACAAGAGCTTTTTCTTTTAGACTTATGCTAACTG